ATATATATGAATATATATATATATATATATATATATATATATTTTTGCTGTTTATTTATTTTATTTAAATTTAAAAAAAAAAAATTGATTTTTTCATATTTTTTCAGATTTTTTTAAAAATATGACGTGGCATGCTGATGTGGCAAAAAAAATCTATGTGGCGTGCCACGTCAGCCGCCACGTGGCGTGCCACATCAACGGTTAACGGACACTTAACACCGTTTTCGGATTGTGTAGGAAATTGCAGTTAAATTGGGTAGTTCGTGTATCAATTTGACATATTTGATAATTTGGTGTAGTGTTTTGTCAAATTAAAAATTCGTGTAGTAAAAGGTCACATCTTGCAAAGTTGGGTAGGAAAATGTCATTTTCCCTAATAATACCACCCCCAGAAGATGCGACGGCCTTTGACCAGTCTTCGGCTTAAGGCAGTGAGACACGTGGCAGAAGCCCGCTTGAGTGAACCCCCACCCGGAAAAATAAAATGTTTTCAGTGAACTCGGAACCATGTGGATGACAACCACTGTCCTTTGACTGCACGTTACAGTCATTTATATATACTTTTATATATATTTTATATATATTTTATATATACACGTCGGATCGATTATTTCACTAGTCATTTTTTTTGTAACGATTTATAGTCATTTTAATCTGGCTCATGTGTTACCCCGAAATTCTCGGGCACATCCCCGATCCAATTCATCGTTTTTCATAAACTAATTAGGATTAATTAAAAAATTCAACAGATCCAAATCGAAACGTTTAGGACTTAATACAACACATCACGAAATTCCTAATATATTCAAGAAAAAAAATTGAGCCACAAATTAAATAGAGAACGACAACAATATCTTTGGTCAACTGGGTAAAGAATGAAAAGGACAATAATATCTGTCACCAGTGTAATGTTCTGCTATGCTTTAATAAATGTTTTTTTATATTGTTTTATGCGTCTAAATTTCGAATAAATCTTGTATTTACTGTGTCAAAATTAGGGGTGTCAAAACGAGCCCAGCTCGCGAGCTGGCTCGTGGCTCGCCAGAAAACGAGCAATCTGAGCCGTAATTTTTTCAGATCGTTAAAAAACGAGCCTAACGAGCCAGAGTTCATTGAACACGTGTTACCTTTTCCATTATGATTGTGATAATTGAAAATATTAAATGATATTGGTGTTTTATTAAAATTTTATGTATTTATTTAAATTTATAATTATATTTAAAATAAATATAAATAAAAAATATTATATATCCTTAGCTCAACGAGCCGGCTCGTTCAGATCGGAAAACTGGCGAGCGATCTGAGCCAAGGTTTTTCTGGCTCGTTAGAAAACGAGCCTAACGAGCTGAGCCCAAAACGATCCGAGCCAAATGAGCCGAGCCCAAAATGATCCGAGCTGGCTCGTTTGACACCCCTAGTCAAAATTATTCCACAGGCTTCTTAAGTTGGCGTTGGTTTACGATTTCTTATGGCTTAAAATACGCATTCTGCCTTATAAACAAATATATTATAATTGAGAGAGAGAGAGAAAACGATAAAGATGGAGGCTTCTCACGTTCTGCCACATGTGATATTAAACCCCAAGACAGCAAAAAACAAATCACCCGCCGCAGATTTGTCCTAAATCCTAATTAAATGGACGTGTTAATTGAAGTGCCTCATAATGAAGAACCAAACCAAGATACGGGGAATCAATCAAAATGACAGCGAATTAGACTGTTTGCCATTTATAAACTTATTCAATCCACAAAGATATGTGTGTGTGTGTATATGGTACTTTCGTAATTATTGTTATAATTATCTATTTTATTAGTATTATAGATTGTCGATATATATATATAGAGAGAAGGAGGAGCATAAGATGCACGTTTGGGTCGCGGCAGCTCACGACCCTCGATCCATTTCTTCACTTGTTATAGTCAATGTTTTTTTTTTTTGATTTGATAACCAGGAGGTTCGTTAGGCCTTCGGCACACTTAATCCCCTTTGGCCCGGAGTCTGCCTTTAGACACGCAACTAATTGCGCCCCTCCTCCCCACCAGTGAATTCGAACCCAGGACGTCGAGGATGATTTTGTCACCTCTTCGTCAGTGGGCCGCCCACTGTTGGGTTGTTATAGTCAATGTTCCGTCAGCATTACTCCTTTCTTTTTTTTTCCTCTTTCATATTTATCTTTCATTTTCTATTGTTTATATGTGTGTATACGTGTATATATCGCTATAATTGATTCATAATATGTCAAGTCACACATGGCTTTGTTATGTAGCAATTGTTTGAATGCATTGTGTCTGATAGAAAGGCTCATAAATATATGCTTTCGTTTCTTTTATCCAATATAGCACTACAAAAAAACAGTTATATAGCGACGGAAAAATCCGTCGCAAATATAAAGGAAATCCGTCGCAATTAAGAATTTGCGACGGAATGCGACGGAATTATTTCCGTCGGTATAACGCTGTCGCAAACGCATAACGGTCGTTAATCCGTCGCATTTTTGCGACGGAAAAAATCTGCGTTTTGCGACGGAAAGTGACGGATAATTCCGTCGCAATTTGCGACGGAATTTTTTCCGTCGCATTCCGTCGCAAATGTTTTTTTATTTTTTAAAAAAAAATAAAAAAATTATATACTATATATACACATACATATATACATTTTCACATACATATACATTCATACACATACATTACACACATACAAATATACATACACATACATACATATATATATATATATTTTCACATACACAAACACACATACACATACATACATATATACACATATTTTCATATACACAAACACACATACACATTCACACATATACACACATACACATATATACACATACATAAATACTCATACACATATACATTTCACAAACACATACACATACATATAAATACACATATATACACATATTCATATACACATACAATCACATATACATACACATACATATTCACATTCACATATATATACACATACACATACATAAACTCACACACACACATTCACAAATACATACACATTCACTTACACACATATATAAACACACACATACACATCCACATCCACACATATATATACACATTCACTCACACACACATACACATACATAAACACACAAAAACACATCAAACACACA